TCTGTCTCTGTCTCTGTCTCTGTCTCTGTCTCTGTCTCTGTCTCTGTCTCTGTCTCTGTCTCTGTCTCTGTCTCTGTCTCTGTCTCTGTCTCTCTCTTCTCCCCTGTCCTTGTGCATCTGCCGGGGAAGAATGTCTCTCTCCCAGGTCCCTTTCTCCAAGCCCCTTTTCCATGTCGAATGCAATGATTCCTTCCTGGTCTTTTTGGTTTTCTCGACAACGGGTTTATCACAAAAAGCTTCTTGAATGATATGAATAATGATGCAGATTGTTATTGCCAATAGAATTGGTAATATCAATGGTAACGATATTGGTTGTAACAGGAACATTCTCATGCAGCTGTTGCACCACCCCATGGTTTAGAAGGAGGTTTCTAAAGTAGTGGAGAGTCCTGAGCGTGTCACAGATTTTCCATGTGAATGTTTTCCATCCTACGGGCTCCTTCAAAGCTTTTTCCTTTTTGCACTTCAGAGCAGAGAGAACACGATAAGGCACATAGAGGCAGATGGGGATTCCTGCCAGCATTAGTGCTGAGAAGAGAAACCTGCCACCATTCCTGCTGATGCCAGAGATACATCAGTGCCAGTGTCTCCATTGCTGAGGATTCCATCTCCTCTCTCATCATCTCTAAGCCCTTGTCTGTGACAAAGCTCAGCCTGAGGCAATTCACAGGCACAGCTACTGTTTCCTAAAGGGCCATCAATTAGAGGCTGTTGAGCTCTGAGCTCCCTCCTTCTGTCCCTTATCACCTACTGACACATAGGTGTCAATCTGTACTTTCTATATCTCCTTCCTTTTTCTTCCCTTGAAAGGAAAATGGATGTGATGTGAGCCTTAGTGAACCAGGCACTTTTACCTTTCACTTGCCCTGACCGTGGGCTGCTGCAGGAGCGCCCAAGGCAGGAACACACACCCAGCCCTGGGCTCTGCTGAGGCCGTGTGGGACCAAGAGAAGCAGGGCTGGAGTGTGCAAGGACAAGGTCCCAGGCAAGCACAGGGGAAACTCCTCTTTACTACGATTCTGCACAATGTAGTGATGAGTCAAAATAATGAGAAACACTTTTTCGATAATTCGCTAGGATGGATGTGGTGCAAAAGCATCAGAGCATTGTACAGCCGTGGGGATGCAACATCAGGTGAGCCCTGGGTTGAGCGCAGCGTCCTTTTCCCAGCCTCAGCCCTGCACAGACACCTCCCCTCCCTCCGTCCCTCCCCTGGGTTGTTGCACAGCCGGGGACGCTCCCTGCACCGGGGTGTCTGTCACAGCACAGAGGTACAAGGCAGTGTCAGAGAGCTGCACTTCCTCCACCTTCAGGACACTGTATTTCCCCGTGGTGTTCAGGTGCGTGGTGATCCGGCCGCTGTGCTTGGGGCCAGAGCCTGCTTGATAGGAGAGCAGCTGTGGGGCTTGGCCTTGCCGCAGCTCGTACCAGAGCAATTCCCTTAAAACAGTGATCTGGTATTTGCAGGTGGTCTGGAAGGGGTGTCCCTGCTTCACCATGACTTGTCCATCGTCCTGGGTGACCGTGATCTGCCCCGTGGTGCCTGCAAGAAAGTGAAGGTGAGCGGCTGCACAGGGAAGGACTATGGGAAGCAAAACAAAGTCTATGGAAATCCTGTTGAAGAAAGCTCCGTGCCCTGTAGGGGTGTTGTAAGAGACGGTCCGAAGATTCTTTCATCTCTCTCCCAATTGTCTCAAGGACAGGGACTGCTACCCTGAATATCAGGGACTTGGTCCAGGGGTTTGGGCCTAGCTGAGGTGGATGTTTTCTAAGTGATTGCTTGGAGGTCGATTGTTTGCATGGTACACAGCCCTCATTCCTGCGGGAGAGCAGAGGCTTGCAAGATGTGATTTTCTCTGTACCCTACACCTGCCTCCTGCGCAATGAAATTCATCAAAATGATCATCAATCTCCTCTGGTTTTGGCCCTGTGCCCCTTGCTTTGTAAAACACTATAAAATCACCCCCTAAAATTACCTTACTATGAGATCTCCCCAGCGGACAGAAGACTCTGCGTTGATGGACGGTGAGTGGACTTGGACGTTGGTAGCTATAATCCCGTTTATCTCTTTTTCTTTATGCTTTGCTTTCTCCTCTTTTCCCTCTATCACATATTAGTGCTGATGAGCACTCAATAAAGTGTGTTTTCCTGTTAAAGTCCCTGGATTGCTGATAATCTTCCCTACTCTAAGATCGAATAAAAGAAGCACATCATGGATCCCACATTGCAGATCATGACAGGAGTCCTGAGAGATTTTGGGCAGGAGTTTGGAGCTCTTTGCTCTGATTCAGCCAAATGAAAGCTGGGCTGTGTTCCTGCTCCTGCTCCTCCGGCTCACAGGACCAGGGAACCGCCTGTCGTGCCTGAATTTTGTATACTGGAATCAGCACCCCTCCAGCTGCCTGAGGAGCCCATGGAGGCACAGCAGAAAGGTTCATCCTGCTTCCCCATCCCTGTCACCTCTGAGGGCTCCTCAATCCCTGAGTAGACACAATGGTGAGCTTGGAAATAAGGAGCCCTGGTTGTGTGTCCAGCCGAGAGAGCACTGGAAGCCGTGGCAGAGCTGTATGAGTCAGGAGGCAGAACGGGACACCCTGTTAATGTCAGTGAAATGAGAGTTGAAAAATGCCTGGTTTGACAGGACCTGGGAATTCACATTAAAACAGGAGCATTATGCTAGTGCAGAAGCAGCTGAGATGTCCTGAGGTGACTGCAGGAGGGCCAGAAGAAAATGGCAGAGGGAGATGGACAGCAGGGGAGAGAAGAGAGAAAAGGCATCTGAGGTTTCCCTTCCCTCTCTGTTTTCCTTTTAAAACTGGGGAGCTTCTTGAGGAAACACTTGCAAAACCACAAAGAGGAGCTGATATTTCTCAGCCCTTTCCCTCTATTCAGTCATGATTTCCCACATGGTCCTGATAAGGCTGTTGAGGGTTTCCCGGTGGGAATAATAAAAACAAGAAGGATGCCTCGGGGAAATGCCAGGACTTACCCAGGAGCTGGCCCAGGAAGATGGTGAGGATGAGAGAGGCGAGGTGCATGGCGAGAGCAAACTGCGTGTTTGCTGAGTGAGGAAGAGTCAGAGAGCGCGGCCCCGAGATACGAAGTGAGGATGGGAGGAGGCGGCAGGAGAGTGTGGGGAGTGTGTAAGCGCAGGGGACAGGCGGCAGGCGTGTGTCCGGGCGAGTGTGTAAGCGCAGGGGACAGGCGGCAGGAGAGTGTCCAGGCGAGTGTGTAAGCGCAGGGGACAGGCGGCAGGCGTGTGTCCGGGCGAGTGTGTAAGCGCAGGGGACAGGCAGCAGGCGTGTGTCCGGGCGAGTGTGTAAGCGCAGGGGGCAGGCGGCAGGCGTGTGTCCGGGCCAGTGTGTAAGCGCAGGGGACAGGCGGCAGGCGTGTGTCCGGGCCCGAGCGGGGCTGTGCGGGGTCGCTGCGGGCGGGCTCGGGGCACACGAAGGAGCTGCGGAGCCGCGCGGGGCCCGGCGGGCTCGGGGCAGCGCCCCCTGC